GCTGGTTGCCAATGTAACCAGCTTTTGCATGCAGTTAACAATGGAGAATGCTAGCCCTTGGAACTAGTCTGAGCTGTGTGTGGAGCATGTCTTCCACACAGCTCTGACTAGCTCCAAGGGCTAGCATTAGGGTAAAAGCCCTTGCAGAGGTGGGTAGGTTGGGTTAGCATTTCATGTGAACTACACATGTAGTGCAACAACATAACCATACAGTACACATTCTCTCCATTGTGGTGGCTGGGTACTCGGGGTTTTAACGCAACTTTGGTGGAAGGTCTTGCAACATTTGAATAGAATCTGTTGGTGATTTGAGTGGTTGAGAGATACCCTGGCAAACTACAAATTTACACTATAGTCATTTTGTATGAGGTGCCATTGGTGCTTGAGACACTAAGGTTCCATCATCAGATCCACAGTCTTGTGATTGCATTCTTTTGATTCTTGTCATTCAAGGATAAGCACTAAACAATGCTGGTATGATTGCAATGGCCATGGGGATGTCTAGCATTGCCATCAATGGCCATCATGACCCCTGGCTACTGAACAGGGCGGGTTGCCTATTAGTAATGCATTGTGAGACTATTGTAAGGACTGAGTGGGACATAGTATCATGTCAACAAGGAGGTCAAAGCAAAGCAAAGGCACACAAATCAACTACACCAATGCATGTAAGCATGTACAAGCTGGTTGCCAATGTAACCAGCTTTTGCATGCAGTTAACAATGGAGAATGCTAGCCCTTGGAGCTAGTCTGAGCTGTGTGTGGAGCATGTCTTCCACACAGCTCTGACTAGCTCCAAGGGCTAGCATTAGGGTAAAAGCCCTTGCAGAGGTGGGTAGGTTGGGTTAGCATTTCATGTGAACTACACATGTAGTGCAACAACATAACCATACAGTACACATTCTCTCCATTGTGGTGGCTGGGTACTCGGGGTTTTAACGCAACTTTGGTGGAAGGTCTTGCAACATTTGAATAGAATCTGTTGGTGATTTGAGTGGTTGAGAGATACCCTGGCAAACTACAAATTTACACTATAGTCATTTTGTATGAGGTGCCATTGGTGCTTGAGACACTAAGGTTCCATCATCAGATCCACAGTCTTGTGATTGCATTCTTTTGATTCTTGTCATTCAAGGATAAGCACTAAACAATGCTGGTATGATTGCAATGGCCATGGGGATGTCTAGCATTGCCATCAATGGCCATCATGACCCCTGGCTACTGAACAGGGCGGGTTGCCTATTAGTAATGCATTGTGAGACTATTGTAAGGACTGAGTGGGACATAGTATCATGTCAACAAGGAGGTCAAAGCAAAGCAAAGGCACACAAATCAACTACACCAATGCATGTAAGCATGTACAAGCTGGTTGCTTTAGACTTTTGATGTCTGAATTCATGGAGAAATCACTGGGGTGTTGCATAGTAGTGTACTGCATCACTCTGAGAGTTTTGCTGGGATGTTCCCCTACTGCATTCACAACTGCTGTGAATGAGGAGAGACAGGGATGACAGACCCACCACTGCCATTGTGCACTCTTTAGCTTTTAGTATTCATAGTATGTCTTGCATCAGAAAAATAATGGCCGCTTGTGAAACTCCTTTGTTTACCTCTTATTCATGAACTGCTATTCCTATGAATATCTTATAGTCTCCCCTTTTGTAAAATAACAGAGGCGGATCTAACATACCAAGTGGAGCATGTGGTATGGCCTACATTGTTCTATACTTCCACTGCCAGCTGCTTCCACAATAGGGTTTTTTCTACATAAAATATTTTGCATACTTCCTGGGAGACAGGGTTTCCCACTCCTTTGTTCTATTGTCTCCCTGCACAATACCAGAATTTTAATTGAAGGGCCTCTCTTGAGTACCAAGATGGTCCCTTTTCAGGCAGTGCAGCCTAGCCTCTTCTATTATTGTACTGTTTCCTGCCACCTGGATGCATGACAACAGTCAAGTGTAGTGTCTTAGCTGTGTGTGGGGCAATAATAGTAGCCCTTGTGTTCCTAGCAGCATTCAATTAAAAACCCCAGTTTTCCGTTTAATGACACCAGTAACTAATACACACTTTCTGTACATTCTCCAAGTTCTACACTTTTTTTTGTTTCAGATGAACCATCTTCTTCGGTTGTGTTTTCATCATCACGCTCTCCAGTCACCACATCATCAAGGACTGTACCTTCTCCAACAGCGTCTGCTGAGCCTACCACGCCTTCATTAACAGAGCCATTTTTCAAGAAGTCTTCTCTCCTCATGCTGAGCGTGGTCGGGAACGGTCTGGTGGTTTTGGTAGTGGTGGCTACCATTGTGGTCGTGGCACTGGTCGTCTGTAGCAAGAGACGGTCGCGGCGGAAAGCCTTAGATCACGTCCACTACGACATTGCCATGGACAAGGTCAAGGTTAAATCCGTCAAAACTGACAAGAAAAACGAAAACAGCGATCATGTCTATGAGACTCTTGACATATACACTCCGACGCCTGAGAGTAGATACGGGATATCTGCAATTGGGCCCACTTACGCAGCAGTCAACGCTATGTACAAGGTGGATGAAGACGGTGAGGTAGTGGATGTGGAGGAGAATGTTGCCTATGACACAGCCAATATGGCCAGAGTTGATGTGAATAAGAACATAGCGTACGCAGCTCTGGAGAGAAAGCAACAGCTAAGATCAAACTCATGTCGCACTATGCCACTCCCTGATCTTCCCTGACACCTAGCACACGCTATACACGTTCCTCAACTTTGTCGCAAAAACGTTGGCCACTCTCGGATAGCATCACACCCTTGCATTGAGGTAGCCTGAAGCATCTTACTAGCAACTAAAGTTGTGCACACCAACCATGCACTGAGATTATGTATACAGCATGTATACTTGCCATCTGTGTCACTCATCAATCATGATTTTTGTCTCCTCACTCTGTTTTATTGAGTGTATAATTTTGACATCGTCTCACTTACTGATTAGTGCGCATGCGTGGATTTTTTATGCCGCACATGCGCACACCGCGTCCGAAGGCGGGCCGGGAAACGACTTTTGGCGCGCGCTCCGGCCTGAATTCGAAGACCCTGGCCTAGCGTATAGCCCGGACGGTAGCGCCTCGCCCGAGGGTTTGGTAAGCAAGCATGCAGGCCGTTTCCTAGGGAAGAGAAGAGCTTCTCCTCCCCTGGAAACAGCCTGGGGTATATATTATAATACAAGGCTACCACCCTGGCGCCTAATAGGGATTGAGCCCACTTACGCAGAGTCAGTGCTATGTACAAGGTGAAGGAAGACGAAGTAGTGGATCGATGTGGAGGAGAATATGCTGCATACAGCCAGTACTCCATGCATGCTCTGCAATGGCCGACTCGTCGATATGCTGTTGGCGGCATGCACTCTGGTGTTCCTTGATCCTTGTAAGTACCCCTTGTTAACCCTCGGCGCGCATGCGCAGCGAGGGTTACGGTACTTGGGTCTGTGTGTGTCTGTCTGTCTGTCTGTTACTCGTCATCTCACTTCTCGAGTGTTCGTTCGTCTCACAAAGGATACCACCTACTGAACGGGCAATGAAGGTCAGAAATTTCGAACGGTTTTCTCTGAAAACGCTCCGTTGCAAAGCTAGAGCGGGAAAAAGCCAATATGCAAATACACAACGGCTTACTACGGCATGATCGATCCGCGTGCTCTGCGTACCTCGGAGGCACCATAAGATGCAACGCAGGGCGTGTATCGCCTCTCGCATGTTATCTAGTAGTGTAGTTAGCCCGCGTCAGACTCTGCGCGAGCTGGCAAGAGACCGCGAGTAACAGCTAAAACTAAACCCAGCCCCATCAATTAGTGGTACGGCGCATGCGTTTACTTACGCGTGCGCGTCACAGTGCGCCGAGGGTTTGCACTTGAGTGCTTTTCATTTCTCCAATGTACACTTTATACTACAACTTCATGGTATATACAGTCTGTACACAACGTTAGCCTATCTGCATTGTGTCAGGGGCCTGTCCTTCACACGGGTCAGTGACTGTCGACGACTAGGCCAAATGTGATGCGAAGCAAGAGCACCCAAGGCCCTACAACATCCGAAGAATAACCAGCAGATATTATTATACAACATCGGAACAACATTCCGCACACAGGCGGACTCACCGACAGTCACTGACCTGGGTAGACCTTATCTTGGGGTGTATTATACTCTTTTCGTGTGATTTGCTTTCAGTGAACCACCAAATTCCAGATTATGGACATTCCGCGTGCACCAAGTAATTACCCCAATCCACCTCTTTGAGTTTCAGTATCGGAGTATTGGTGTCGATAATAGCCCTGGCATGTATGGCTGATTTATATTTTTCTCCCACTTTTGTTTTACAATTGTATTATAACATAATTCATATGATCTTGACTACTCACCTCTCACACCTATAAGCATGGAACGAAAGGGGAGTCTCATTGAGTTGGTAGACTGATCCTATCCATGTATCAATGATTCTTTACTTTTCTCTCCAATATTTTTACCACCGTGGGACATCGTTCTACACAGCATCCACTCTATGCTCTAGTTGGTTAAACCTCTCCATAATATCCAGGGAGCTAAAGTGGAACATCTCTAGCTATGCGCATGCTTAGGCTTAGATAATTGCGCATGCGCAGGTAGGAATCATTCGCATGCGAGCTGGCCGGCCGCCGTGAGGTAACATCGCTCGTCTGCTCTTGGACGATACAGTGCGGCGGTGCTAGTGGGACGGAGCCACCAGATATGTGGTCCTTGACTGTGTTGCTCGTCAGTTTCGTTACACAATGTGTGAGTTGCAACGCAGGCTGCTGGGCGGTATAATAATGACGACGCCGGACGTGGGTATGTACTGGACGGGTCTTGATCGGCATTAGATAATATAGCGGAATATTATAGTTCCGCTATATTATTGGTGCGAGATCCCGAGTGCTGCAGTGCCACAGTGCCACATCCTGTGTGAAGCTTGACTTTTAGCTGTGTATTGTATCGAAGAACTTAACCAGTCCTCGCAATTGTGTAAACTAGACTGTCTGATGCATGGGGTGTCTAAATACTAATAATTTTAGTCCTGACCAATGTAAGAATGGTGGTATAGACAGAGCTGATACAAAATGCAGCTGCCTTTTGTTTTTGGTGGGTTGTGGTATTGTTAAGAAACAAGTTGTAGTATAGCAGTAGGGTCCATCTGTGCCGAATTTCCCTGTGATTAAAAGCACTACTCTGCTGGGATATCACTAGAGTACTAATATATACACAGATTCCAAACAATAGCCTTTGGTTCAAACGTGATTTTCATGTCATGAGCACGGTGCGGTGCACTTACATGTTACACCTACACAGGAGAGAATCTTTGTAGGAGAGACTGTAAGGCCCACCTACTTATCTTGCTTGTGCTCTTGTCTCCAGCTCCAATGTCCCAGATTCAATGAGACAGCTGATAATGTATAACCTGGTCTGTGCTACAGGCTACAGTGAGATCATGACACATGAACAAAATAAGATGAGATAATCCTAAAGAAAGTTAATGTGCCATAGGTGACAAACTCTAACTAGACATGCTCTTGGCATGTGGTGCACCACTATGCACCTAGCTCACCTGACATGACACTTTGTCCCCTCTCTTTATCAGCTAAATCAGGGGGTTTTTTTAGGTTAGGTATATAGTATGAAAACTACGCATGTTTTTGGCTGTGGCCACGAGAGTAATGTATATCCCTTTCTTGCAGTGGAGTGGAAGTTGGGGTTTTGGCTGATTGGCCACGAATTAAAAGGGTAATACAATAAGGCTGACTTGCAGACTTGTTGGGTTTTTATTTACAAGACCACAAACTTTGCACTGCCTTTTCAGGGTTTATCACTTCAGTAACATTGCACAAAGAACCCACACACCTAATTTTGTTTTGGTGTGTTTGCTGTTAGCCAGTGTTTAGACATAATATTTCGACCAAAACATGAGCTAGTGTCAGCCTTGTGTCTGTGAGGGCTCTTCCTCTCCGGGAAGCCAAACCAGCAGATAAAGTGAGCGCAGTTAATGCTCATTTCCATTCTAGTTTACACATGTGGCACATAACACAAATCACATGCTATTCAGGAACTCTGTACTTGTTATCCTGTGGAGACTACCGGTCTTTGTTGCTGGTTAAAAAGGTTCTTTCAGGCATGCACACATGTCTACTTTCATCCTGTCTGCACCTCACTGGTTGATGAAGTCAGCTAAAGTCACAATTTAGACACCAATTCCATGCCAAACACGTATAAAAAGAGTAATTCTGGCCTTGCGTGTTAGTAAGCTACTGGCGACCCCCTGTTATTTCTCTTGCTTGCTCTCTCCCTTCCTGCGCTGGAGATGCTATATAGGAGAAATGGTGAGAAAGGTCTTGTCCACCATTGTCCTCTGACAATACACACCTCTGTTCCCACATCCAGAGCTGTAGACAATTAGTTATCAAAACAGTGTTTGTTTGTACAGTGGCATTCCAATCAAAGAATGTACGATATTAGGTGACCTGTGTTAATTGTAAGTAAAATGGTTTCCAATATAGCCTTTAAACCAGGACTTCTTCCTCCTCTGCATGCACATGCTCCGAACAGACGTGGGAGTAATAACAGTTGTAGAATTCCTGGATGAAGTGGTGCTTGCCACGGCCTACGAACCACTCAGGGCAGCTATTTTATCCAGTGAGTGTGGTAACACCTGCCTTACAAATAAAGCTCTTTCGAAAGTCCCGGTGTGCCACTCGATGACAGCTGCAGCATGCATAACATGATAAAATCCTCCAGGCCATTTATCTCTGTTTCTCCCATGTGTAGACTGGTATGTGCACATGAAGAACGGGAAGCGCCTGGTTTCAAGGTTACAACCTCATAAATGGTCCCAGCCATAATATAGGGTGTGAGCACAGTGGTAGAAACAACTGACTCTGAATTGCAGAAATCATGTCACTTACTTAGTTGTTGATGCATAATTTAGTTTGTTCGCCCCCGATTAGCTCAACTCTTGCTTGCAAATGATGGTGTTCATTCGTTACGTACCCTCCAGGTCGTGCCGTCAGTAAATGCTGGCTACACGTTTGAGATGCTCCTCATTGGCTACCAGAACCCCTCCCACAGATCCTCTCGCGGGGGACTCTGCGAGCGTCGTGATGACAGTGATCCTTGTGACAACGCTTTCAAAATCTGCTTCCGTCATCGAGACTCCCCGGAGAGCTCTAGCTGCGACATCGGGAAATTTCAAACAGAGAAAATAGTCGATGACAATGACAATCTAGTGTTCATGGAAGGAGAGAGTATTGGTGGTGTTCATAACCCCATCACAGTGACTGGAGATACTTGGCCGGTGAGCTTTGGCTTGGTTCACAATATGTCGCCTTGCCCCGTCGTGCCGTGCCGCGTTGCCGCGTCGCGAGGATAGAATCCATTTCTATCTCCGCGGCAGGACGCGACGGGGCAAGGCGACATATTGTGAACCTAGCCTTAGAGTGTATATAGGCTTCGGTATGCAGAGAAAACCCTCTCTGTAGTACGTTATAGAGGAGAAGGAATCCAAAGCTTTCCATGCCCCCCCCCCATCTCTCACTGTGTACGAGATAAGTCATTTCCTCCCAGGGACAACAAATAGAGATTAAGCTCTCCGTGTATGACATTGATGGAGATGACCGTGGCATAACTCACGGCTCTGATCCTGTCACGATGTTTGTGATTCATCCCAATGTAACTGCCTCGGTCAATAGTTTATTCTCAGAGCAATACAATCTTACAAGTTACTACAGTTCACTCCAGCTGACATTCAGACTCACCTGTCTACCGCCTCACTCCGGCCCCGGCTGCTCCCTGATTTATGACAGATCCTCTACCTACAGCTCACACAGTAAGTTTGATACACACAGGAGAACCTTTGTTGGCATGTCTCAACAACTTGGTAACGAGGTAGAAAGGCAAGGAAAGGCAAACAAGTCAAGTATGGACAGCTCAAGGAAAGGAAAAAGAGCTGCCCTGGGTGGGATTCGAACCCACGACACTCTGTATGTCACAGTAAGTTTGATATCCCCAGGTATTGTAGCTAGGATGCATGTACAATGCTCTTCAGGGCATGGGCCTTGACATACTGTGACGCATGCTGTATTTTAGAGAGACAGACAAAACACTGTATTTGGCAGGTTTATCTAAGCCTGTGCTGTGCCAGCTTTAACCAACAGACATAATGTGGGTAATGTTCATTGCACTGCTCTTCAACAAGCAGTGTACAAAAAAGTGTAAAAAATGCATACTCCAAGTAGCTCGTCCACTGTTTTCGCATAATTTCATGCATGACTAGAGTGCAGAGATATTGCATACTTTGGTGAGCTGGGCAGGCATGTAATATGACACTGGTCAAAACAACAGTTGCTTGGTGACTCTATTGTTTTTAAGGCAGGACACGCCCACCTCCCACACCTGCCAGTAGTCCTGCGTCGATTATTCCAGAATAATTTCGGGAATAATAGGTCCCTCTGGGAATAAGAATAATTCCAAGAATAATAGGTTGAAAGTTTCCAAGCGAGCGACGAGCCGGCAACTCGCGGAAGGGCGAAGTGCGAGTGGACACGCGTCACGCGCACGAGTGGGTCAAAACGGAACGGACTCCGACTCGGACAGGGAATCAGGGATAAAAACCACGTGTAGCGTGCCAGAATGGCCCAAGAGCGCGCGCCGCCGTGGTCACGTCATGCATCATCGATATCTGGATGGCGCGCGGAGTTGGGGGACGTGCCGACTTTTCCGAGCTCAGCCTAAGTGCATACCTACCAACCTGCAGATAAAGCTTTGCTTGAGAGATTTGGATGCTGTGGGTCTAATCAAAAATTAATGTATGGGCATGATCCATCACAGGATAGCACTGGATGGTTGGTATGTAAGAGCATGGCGAATGCAGGGCATTTTTGGGGAGCGAGAGCACTCCACGAGCCAGCCATCCTAGCTTATTAGTAATATCTCTCCATTTAGCATCAGCAATTGCTGCTGAAATAGCACGTCTATCAAGCTATTACTACACTAATTTGGTGCACTTAGTCTACAGAGCCATTCTGGCACGCTAATGTACTGTAATCTATGAGCCATTCTGGCACGGGAGCCATCCTGGCACGCTACAACCATGTGGATAAAATGGCGTCGGCTTCCCATCGGGTGATGTTTAATGTTATATTTATGTGCCTGCTCTGTATAGTACTGTTTTTTCATTTTTCAAGCAGAATAATAGGTAAATTTCTGTGAATAATGGGTAAACTTTAAAGAATAATAGGCATATGGAGTAGGAAATTCAGAATAGAATATCCGGACAAATTGTGGGAATAATAGTCTCAGGCCTACCTGCCAGCATATCAATCGTGTAATATCCTTTTATACTTGCTTCAATTTCAGGAGTGACACCCACATCCATTACCAGTGTGATGGTCAGTCCCAGTCCAACTGTAGTCCGACCAATACGACCATCTCCCGAGGACCAGACTCCCTCTATACCACTAGTGACCCTGGCTATCATCTGCACTGGGGCGGGTGTCTTATTATCCATTATCATCGTAGTGGTCCTGCTGGTGATTCTCATTATTAGAAAAAGGAACGAAGAAAAAATTGACGATTCTGCTTTTAGACTGCTACATGACGTGGACGTTACTGAAAAAGAAGAAGTGTGAAGAGCACTTGTATGACACTGCATCAAGCTTTCGCAATAGCTCCATATCATCCCCGCCTGTGCATGCAACGGTCACATCCCCACCACCCGTGTATGCAGCTGTCAAAGACACGTACCACATTGCTCAGGAAGACCCTGATGGTATGGCCATGGAGAAGAACATATCCTATGCCAGAGTGGATGTGGAGAGAAACGTGGCCTATGGTGTTGTTGTAGGACAGAGGTCTCAGCATCGTCCAATGATGCCACTCCCTGACCAGTAATCCACTTTAATTTTGTACTGAAGTAAGAGTGTGTGTCGACATAACTACATAATCAATTTGTGTTTAGACTGATGATTCTATCGCAGTTATTTCCCAAGAACACCTAAGCTAAGTCCACCTCCTCATTCTTGTGGAGGCATGAGTAGGTGTCTGTTACTGTGATATTTGTGCATGATCGACCATCCGTGGCCTCGGGCACCCACTGACTGCATGAGCAAATCTACATTCCAGTTATGTAATAATTTGTACAATGGCATACCATTTCCATGATGATTACATGTTTCCATGACGACCACATATTGTTTGAAAACACCTCAGGCGCTTTTATTTAAAATTACTTCTTCACTCCTCAAACTTTCCAATGGTAGCATGCATAGAGATGAAACTTGGTATGTATGCCTATTATACCATGACGATTACATTTTTCCATGACGACTGTGTATTGTTTGAAAAAGCCTCAGGTAATTATCTTTAAAACTATCTTCACTCCTAAAACTTGCTAACTGTAGCACGCATGGTGGTGAAACTTGGTGCGCATGTGTATTACGTTTCCATGACGACAGTTGCCAAGTTTGAGGAGTGAAGAAGTAATTATTTACTTCTTCACTCCTCAAACTTGGTAACTGTAGCGTACATGGAGATGAAACTTGGTACACGTGCATATTAGTGTAGCGCTGAACCAGCTTCTTAGCCACTTAGTTACGCGTGGTTAATTGTGGACGGACAACCCTCGCTGCGCATGCGCGCCGAGGGTAAACTAACACTCAGCACGCACGTGTGCACGGTGTTTTTCGATCTCTGTCCACGCATGCGCAAGCGAACAACGGAGCGTCGGGAGGTCCGTGTATATACCGGCGGCAGGTCTGACCAATACCACAAGGCTGGTGGAATGAAGCCACAAGAAACGTGGTCCCTGACTGTTCTGTTTATCAGCATCGCGACGTCCGGCGTAAGTTGGTGCACGGGGCGGATAGTTGTATATAGACATGACATCAGTGTCACAGGACCGTCCTCCGCCTTTACATTGTACAAGGCAGCAGCATGTTATGCATGTGTAGCTGGTCAAGTTTGGGTACACCTCATAAGTACCTTGCATAATATTCAAGCGATATTAGCTCTGTAAAGGGAAGATCCCTTCCCTGGTATATACATCTGGCTTCCCGGATCAGGAACTAGCTATACATAAGCAGAGGAACCAACTAGCAAGGACATTGTTGTTGTTTTTTTTACAAGAATTACAATTTTGGTCATTGGTAGATGGCTTATAGTGACCTTGTACAACTAGACTAATTGAATTTCCCTAATGCAGATTCTACTATTAGTGGAGGCTGGCTACAGGTTTGAGATTCTGCTAGTGGGCTACCAGAATCCCTTTCACAGACTAACTAATGGAGACTACTGCGAAGGGCAAACTCAACGCAACAACCCTTGTGACAATGCCTTTATAATCTGCATCCGTCATATGGGAAGTCCAGCTAACGTATGTGACATTGACAGACTCCAAACAACACTAATAGAGCGAGATAGTGATAATCTCATGTTCCGCGAGGGACAAAGTATTGGCGGTGTTCAGAACCCCATAGCAGTGTCTGGAGTCACTTGGCCTGTGAGTTATGTAGCAATTCCCTGAATCATTTTGTGCACAGTGAGTAAACCACCTTGAAACACCACCGCCTATATGTAGCTTGGTGTTTTGCAAGCTTGTGAAGCATAGCTAACATCAGCCATCTGTTAGAGGAAATCGTTCTGAGAAGGAAGTAGATCGTCCACTAAAATTGTTTAATTTTTTGTTTAAGACATAATTTTCATTTCCTCCCAGCGAAAAATAGAGATTCAGGTCTATGTGTATGACACAGATGGAAGAGGCAATTCTATAAGTATGAACTCAGATTATGTAACGGAATTTATAATTCATCCCGATGTGAACGCCTCCACCAATGGTGCATACACAGAAGAATTTAATGAAATTGATGATCCTTCAAGTGGGCAAAGGAGGTCACTCCAGCTGGCATTCAGACTCACCTGTCTTCCACCTCACTTTGGCCCAGACTGCTCCCTGCTCTGTAACACCTCTGCCTGTTGTAAGTATCTATCCACTCTTATAGTGTAAGATTACAATGGCTCTGGACAGTGTCCAAAATTGAGAAGATAAGACTAGAATATAGTGAAACAGTGGTACCCTAACATAACTGGCCTCTTGGCAATATATACCAAAGTGCAAAATAGACCTTTGAGTCTTCTAATGAGATGCCTTAAAAGACCCGTTAAACATCATTCAATTACATTACGTGATGCATTGTTGCAGGGTGTCTTAGCAACTACCTAATGACCACTACATATCCTCAGAGCCAAGTTTGTATGTGCTATATTATAGTCTCTGTCTAGGACCTCACAAAGTAGAGTGTAGGTATCAAATGCGAAGTTCAACCACTGGCAGCATAACTGTCTATTCTATGTGCGGTGTTAGAGGGCTTACTCTGTTAGGTATTGTATGTATATGCCCATGTTAGGTCACGAGGCAGAAAATCGTAACACAACGCAAGCATGCTGAGTAGTGTGTTAATACAGGCTTTAACAACCTCTCTAGCTAGGGTGACTGTCCCTAGTCCATATCTTCTTCAGTGGTCTCACATTTTACTTTCCCTGCCTATATATTACTTGGAAGTTTCTATCTCACTGCTTGTCTCTCTCTCTCCCCCTCTCTAAATATATATAACATGCAGATTTAACAGCTACTACACTGCAGCCAGGCAAAACCTCATTTTCTTCACCTGATGTACTGACACCGACAATTACCACAATGCCAGTTCGCCCAGACAAGACGAGAGGCAGCTCCTCCACTCTAAGACCTGTTATTACTGTAGCACGACGTCCCTCTGAGGACCAGGCTCCCTCACCTGTGAGCATTGGTCTCATTTGCACAGGGGCAATCCTCGTCATAACAGCCATCGGCATAGTAGTGACTTTGTTGGTGATTCTGAAGATGAAGCAAATGAAGAAGATGTATTCTCAAGACTTAGTGGCCTCCAAAGAAAAGTTTGAAGATTCGCAAGACCAAGGGAATGAGGGAAAGTTTGAAGAACACTTGTATGACACTGTTAAAACGACATCAACCTTTCGCACCATTTCCACCACATCCCCACCACCCGTGTATGCAGCAGTCAATGCCATGTACCACATTGCTCAGGAAGACCCTGATGGTATGGCCATGGAGAAGAACATATCCTATGCCAGAGTGGATGTGGAGAGAAACGTGGCCTATGGTGTTGTTGTAGGACAGAGGTCTCAGCATCGTCCAATGATGCCACTCCCTGACCAGTAACTGCATCCTCTTCACAAGTGTATAGCTAGCTACTGTAATAGCTATGTACTGTGTGTGTAGCTATATACTCGCATGTAACTGTGTTTGATAAAGGACCATCTTAAAATCACAAGATGGCATGTTTGTGCTTGACTTTTCCCGACTGCGCGTGACGACCTATGTGGCGCCGCGCCGCGCGATATCTTAGGAAGCAAAGCGTAGCCTCGGAACCCGGGCCTTCCCCCCGTTCAACGCAGTGTATAGTAGTTACTAGTACGCGTGAACATACGCAGAATTATTGTGCGTGGGTGATCTCCGCAAAGAACGCTAGCTAGCTGCTTTCCCTACCACTTACAGTGCTGTGAAAATTTTCTGTTTACTAACATAGAGCTGTGCTAAAAACTGTGCAGATACTAGTGGCAAGTGGTGAAAAGTTTTGTTCTGAGAAACTCAACCTGTGCTTGCTTGCTCTTTAGCTCTTGCCACTCAAAGTATGGGATCTGTAGCATTGCAAAGGAGATGTAGGGAACTCATTGCATGAAAGAAGAATAAATGATTGATACAGTAGCTTCTACAGTATTGAATATTCCTAAGGATACCCTAATGGATGTTACCAGCTATTTTTGGGCTCTTATGATCGATGATACTTACACACTTCACTACAGGTATAGTGTTTTGTTGGCATTCTGATTGCTAGAGGTAATGAAAAGCACTAAAGTGCAAACCCTCGGCAAACTGCGCATGCGTGATACCGCTAATTCCTGTGCTTTACTGGAATAGGGGAATCCCCATGTTATGGGTGGAAATAATAACATCAATGTTACCGCTAAAACGCGAGCATATAGACCAATACTGAGAGATGATACACTGTACACAGCAGCTACAGTAACCTTAGCTGGACATCAACTCAACCAAACTCACCGATATGACAGTCCATCCAAGACACCTCAAGATGCGATGCTTCAACAAAGTCTTCCCGAGTGTGTGGGTGCAATTTGCAGCGTAATGCCAGGGGCCGTCCACCTCCACCGCCACCCGTCGAGCCACGCCCTCTAGAGAACCACCCACCAGCTTTGCCCAGTCGCTAGCCAAACTGAAACTCTGGTCTGGCTCTGTGACTTCTCTTCGAGACACTTGGTTTCGTAGGAGATCCTGGAGCCTAGGACACAGTAGGGGAGAGTCTATGAGGCTCTGCAGGTCCGCCCACGACCGCCAGTGATTGGGCACGGGGATGGGGTTACCCCTGTCGTCAAGCATAATCTCAATGTCAATAAAGTGTAGACTGGTGGTGAGAGCCTCCAGAGTAAAGTTAGAGTCGCTCCCTGTGATCTTGGATAAGGCGTTGGTGATGCTAGTCAGGAGTTTGGAGCGAGGGTGGGACCATCGGGACAGGAGGAGGGCACGAGCAAACACTGCAGACCCGTGAGGGAGGGAGAGGTCCAGGTGAGGTTGCTCTGCTGCCAGGAGGACTTGGAGTCGCAGCAGGAAATTCAGGCTGTTCTGGTCTCCAGTCTCAATTACACCTGTATGAAGTACATACTTGAACGAAACGGTGGGTGAGTGTGTACTAATTGTGGGACCACCAATCTGCAAAAGCCAGCAGGTAATTTGTCTCAATAAGTTACTCACATGACGCTTAATCCCACACATTACACTGCATGCTCTCTCGTAAGGAAAGTTGAGTCTTTACATGCAATTTTGACTTCAGTGCATGCACATACCAGTGGCAAAGCCTTGTGGGGATGAATCTCATTAGTTCAGAACCACATGTGCTGCGCTCCTGGTATATAGCCTTTATAAACTCTGTGATACCAGAGAGAGAAGTTGCGGTATGCTCTGCTGATGAGGGCCACAAGCCGAAACAGCTGTCCAGAGCTCCCATCTTTTTTCTCTTGGCATCACATGGTATTTTCTACATCAGTATCTTATAGAGAAGCTGTGAAAGGTTTGGCTTGCTTCCACCAACCTATTATGGATTTGTACAATGTGTACTGTGGGTACTGAGTGACTTACATCTGACCCTGTTAGGTTCCATGAGGTGCTCCAGCAATGGCAGTGGGTACTGTCCAATGGCCAGGTTGGCCCAGGCAATACTAACACAGGCATCGTCATCTCTCAACATCGCCTCATCAGACACAAACCTCTCTGTCACCTCCCTCACCAACTGGCCGTGCGGGTGGTCCAGCTGAGCATACGCGTACATCAAGTTGCCCAGGTCCTGAGCATTGAAGTGGGCCAGACTACCGAGTGCTCTAGCGGCTATACAGTCTAGTAGGGCTGGGTCAAAGTAGCCAACAGTGGCACACGTCCAGGCAAACAGAGCTGAGAAGTCGTGGAGTCAGCAGAGCAGAGTCCTTTGGCTCTCCCAGAATCAACCCACTCAGAGCATCACAGAAGGTTCTGTGATAGAATTCGGCAGAAGCAAATGTCCAACAGCAGTGGAGAGTGTTTGGGACGCTCCTTTCTGTCCGTAAGAACGTTGCAGCTGTGCAGCCTGCAGACTCTAGCAGTGGTTTAGGCAGCGCGGCTCCACTGGTGGTGAGGGACCACAGACAGAGGGATAGGGAGTGGGAATCAAAGTCGCTCATGTAGCGAGGTACAGACCGGGTCACACTGTCTGCAATGGCCCCGGAGAGGTTCCCCGAGCTGGCCAGGACCCACAGGATGTTGGCCAGAGACTGTGGCTTGAACCTCTCTCCAGACGCCAATCTTGCCCTGGAAAAGATCTATCAGGTGAGTGAGGAGGGATCTGGTGGAGCTAAGAGACAAGAGATTAAGCCGCTTCAAAGACCAGAGGAGTATTCCTATAGACACGGAGGGAATCTGTCTAGACTTTAGAGTACAAACGTCCACTAGTGATGTGGAAAGCAGGTCGTGGCTAAATTCAAACTGAGCACAGTTATAAAGGCACTTGATGGCAGAGTTTGCTGACATCCCGGGCACCTCTCCCAGCAGATGGCTCCAGAACCCGTCAAATCCAGGCACCTCAAACAGCTCCGAGGAGGACAGCTGTTGTGACTCCGCAGCCTTCAGACTGTAGTAGAGACAGCTCCTAACCACGTTGTGCGAGTATACGCTCCCTCTGTGATCCTCCCACACGGCCAAAACTTCAGGTACGCTTCGGGTTTTGGCTAAGGCTAACTGGAGGCACTCGTTTGAAGCAACCGGCTTGGTGGAATAGTACAGACGGAAGTGGAAGAATCCAAAAGTCAAAGTAGCAGGCCTTTAGTAGCACAGGCAACCGCCTACTACAAGTGATTTCCACTCCCTGAGTTGCTCTCAGAGTGTATATAGTCCTCACAGCACTGCGAGCTCTTCCATTTGCTCGCAAAGCCCTCAGCAGCATCGTGAAGGTGCGCTTTATTTAGAGAGCCTTGTGCACTTTGAACCCTACGTCTGTTTGAGACCTCTCACTGGGCAATGTCCGACAAGAAAGAGATAGAGGTAGAGTTGGGGGATAACGGAGCTGGGACTCACTGTGACGACCAGTTTATGCGGTATGCCGGTGGTGGAGCAGTCGCTGGTAACGACAGTTGGTGTGCTATAATTAGAAGTTTTCTGCATTCTAAACGGTGCAGGTGCTTGTTTCGGAGCCGTGGAAGCATGTCTCGTGAACCCCGTTCCTGGCCAAACTACTCCACTCATTTTCAAGGCCTTCAAAATCATGGGAATGCGCTCTGTGCTAGTAGGTCAGTAATGCAAGGGTAGGACCCTGTAATTTCACAAAGACCTGCACATGACATGTGTCTACAGGTACTGTCGGAGGTGTGTTTGCTGTGGGAGCATGTTTCTCAGCCAAACTGAGAGACAGAGATGACTATAAGAACGCAGTCATTGGTGGGATGCTGGCTGGCTCCATCTTTGGCTACAAGAGTAGGTTCTTTACATGTCTCAACAACTTGGTAACGAGGTAGAAAGGCAAGGCCAAGGCAACAAGTCAACTACACCCAGGACAGCTCTTTCTTTTCAAAGAAAAAAAGAGCTGCCCTTGGTGGTGATTCAAACCCACGACACTCTGCAGTCTAGGCGAACTATCCCTCTAATAAAGGACACCCTTAGGGATCCTAAACCCTCATTCTAGTATATACATTTTTAACCAACAAAGAGAGGGCAATCTCCCAGTTAAAACAAATTGCTGGTCCTGACGTGTCCATTATTCAGAGGTTTTATCGTACTTAGCACTGTATTTATAAGTACCGCACAGCCCGCAGTTTTGCTGTGGGAGCAAGAATGGCAGTAGGGATGGGAGCGCTCCTGGGACTGATAAAGTACCGTACCGGCAGCTACCTCCCTCCTCTGATACCGCAAGAGGAGAGCTTTGAAGTCAGAAGAAGCAAATGGATCAGCTCCTCTTGACTTGTCCAGTGCTGTGTACTATAGTAATGTTGTGTTGTATCGTGGATGTATAGCTGTGTGTTATTATAGTACACTGTATAGTTGTCCACTGTCAATGTCAAACAGACATGATACTGAGATCTACCTTAACTCTGGAAAGCATGATCTCCTCATGCAAAATTATGCAGAGATTGGAAAGCAGATGGGATGGATCAATATACATACAAGACACTAGACTATACCAGAGGTGTGCAGTAAATAGAGCTGAGGTTTAGTGGTGGTTTGGTTACTTCTTCATGTGACGGGTATTGGAATTATGTCATAGATATTGAGTAGTACATTATAGGAAGAAAGAACCGGTGGTGCACGACCAATGACGTGACATTCTGCAATATTATTCGACATTCCAGCCGAAGAATCAAAATACGTGTGCAGTTGGATCATGACACCAATCCTGTGCGGACCAGTCGCCCGTCGATATAGTACATACGTTCATTAGTGTTATTTCATCCTGAAACAGTGAATAATGTGTTAGATAGTGTTATTTCTTTGGTTCGTACTATTCATGCAAAAACATCATACACAGTTAAAGCACTATATTATAGTAACGAGCATAATTAACTTGTTTCAGAACCCATCTTCATTATCATCCTCGGCTTCTTGTTCCTGTATGTCAGGAAAAGCATTAAGTGGAGGAGAGGGAGGGAGGAGAGCGGCTTTGGGATTCTCCTTCCAGCGGAGAGATTGGGACAAGTCCAGCAAATCCAGGTAGCCTGCAGATCTCTCTAGAAGGCTACTGAACATGACCACCAAAATCCTGGAACTTTGGACGACCACTGGGCTTCAGGGACCAGCAACTCTTCATTATGTCATATCTGCAGATAGTATGATAGTTATGTGGAGCCTGAGGAGATATTGCTTACTACAACACTGAAGGAGAAATGGGGCAGCTGGATTATCAGTGAGATTAACCTTAAACTGGCTACACCCCAGGATCAGGTATTTTATGATTGTGAAGATCAAAGCGGAAGGTGGGTGTTTGCTACCTCACTCTTATAATATAACTAATGATCTATGTCTGTAGCGTCCTTAAATTTCGTCGGCAGGCCTATTCTCAGGTTACAGTGTTTCCTCTTTTGAGTGCTTCA